AAATGAAGCTAATTGGTTACTGAATAGTAGCAATTATCAACAAATCTAATAAAATAACAGAATAGCACATTCATACATATGCACGGATATATGGGTTAACAAGAGTCATTCAAAACTTTTCAGAAGTTATACATTTCTTTTTGATGTGATGACATAAAACATAATTGGGAAGACAGACCGCATTCATGGGAGGAGAAATAAATATCAGAAAACAATCCCTGCATTGTAAACGGAACTGTAGATGAAATAAAATCTGATACAAAATTCTATAAATTGTGTTTATGAACATTTGACAATCTTTTCATAAGGGCAAATATTTTCTTGGCTTCTGAGAAGAAAGAGAAGGTTGCATATGCTGATGATGGGAGTTTCTACCATACATGAAATGATTAAGACATAAAATAATTTTAGTTTAGTTGCTCAATGATTTATGATGGTGTTGGCATTAGAAGAAATTTTAAATTAGGATTTGATTTATATGAAAATAAACTATTTTGAATCTGAAGGTTTTTAAAATAGTCTTTTTGAGAAATAGAATAAAACTTATTCATGTGGCAAGGCATTAAGTACATATGAGAAATTTAAAAGTATGCTAAATTTAACTTCCTTAGCAAGGGCTTATTAAGGTTATCTCACTGCGTGTAAAAGGCTCCACACTGGGCTCAGCTTAAAAACTGTCAGAAGTACTTTTGGTTCTTTTAAGATGGCTGGAAAGTTGATCAGAAGAGAAGAAGCAACGATGTAAAAGTTTTTATTTAGAAAGTACAACCTGTATTGGGAGTTTATATTTTTTTCTCTTGTAAAATGGAAACTAAACATGTTTTTGATACCTGTAAGACGGTTAATCATGAATTTGCAAACCGTTGTTAATCTTTGTACTGTGAATGTAGTCTTTGGTGGGTTTCCTGTAGTTACCTGGCTTATAGTCTACACAGATGAAGGATACTTCTTGTGTGTTCTGAATGCCAGAACCAAGACATACAGGACTCTGAAAGTGTACATTTTAAAAATACACTGAAGAACTAAAAAGAGAAAACTTCAACGGGAGTACATATTTTCTGTATGTATTTGGGAAATTAGGACTGGATACTTACTTTTGGGAAAGAGATATTTTCAGAAGTCACATCAAATGGGCTGATATTAGTGACATAAGAGATAACCATCTGCCTGAATCATTTCATAGATATTGAATGCAAATTTTAGAATTGTATTTCCTGAATACATGTGCAAGTGCACATGCAATTTGGGTTAAGATTGCTAAATTTTTTTCAAAGGTAATTATAGTATTTTATTCACTAAAATGAATGAGACTATATTTTCCACAGCAATTTCAATTAAGTGGTTTTCTTTTTTTAGAAAATTCTTAAATATGTGTGAATGTAAAAGCTGAGATATAATATCTTGTTATGATTTAAATTTTAAACCTAGCTTAGTATGTATGAGGTGAAATTCTGTCTTGAGTTAAAAGAAATCTATATTTTTATATTATTGACTTGTTTGAGGTTTTGCCTCCTGCCCCCGTACAGTGACTATCTTAAGAAAAACACAATGTTTTCTAATTTCTTTTATTTTATAATTTGAACTTAATTCCTTTTCCCAGAATAATGTCTGGTGCCATATATATATATAATAATTTAACAACTGTACTTCTATATCTCATAACTTGTTAGTTAAACTTGATATCATTTCTTCTAAGTTTTATATTATATTTTAAATTAATGTATCATATAGGAATATAAATTAAAATATTTACATGAATACAATCTTAAAATGACTTAATTTCTTTAAAAGATTTGATATGTACTCAATACTAGCAATGATACTGTGACTTTTTGGATGTATTGAACTCTGCTTTTTGCTTCCTAAAGCTTTTTAGCATAAGTAATGGTTGATGTAATCTGTCTTCCAAAAATCATTATATACTGGATGGATGGTATCAGTATTTGCTCTTTTCTGAAAATGGAGAAAATGTTGAATAAATTCTCTACACAGATAAACAATGACACAAAAGTGAAGAGACAGTTCTCCTGAGTATACCAGGACAAACCTGGAAGCCTAATCCTTTAGTATGTATTTCTGCACCAATTGATTCTAGATAGTTTGTAACTCCCGTGTTCAAGGATTTATGGCAGATAAATAGTGGCTATTAAACCAAATGGGAGTTTTTTATTACCCATTTAACACCATGTATACAAATGGGGAATTATATCCATATAAGCAAGTGATGTGGAAAGCCTGTCTTGGAATCTGACTTAGAAAAAAATAATGTAGAAGTATTAATATGATGAGAATACATCAAAGAATAAAAACAGAGTTAATATGACCACTCTGAGTACACTCATGATTTGAAGAGTGTAGAAATGATGAACGTATTTTGACCCTAAAATACTGACAAAAACAAGGGGTGTGTTGATGCTTAGGAGTGTTAGAGATTCACTAACATAGTGAAGAAAATTTTCAAATATCCATCCTGGGGAACTGCCAAGTATTCCAGAAGAAGTGGGATATAGAGTGAATGTTGGATAACACTCATGACGATGTCCAACTTTCCATGTACTAAGGAGACAATTTCCCATAAGTTTACATGAACACTTTCATAAACAATATCTTTTTTCTTCTTTGTTCAAAATGGTGACCTGTCCAGATAAAACATTTTTCTAGCTTGATATTAGGACATTCAGTATTCTCTATTTAATGCCATGATTATTAAACTTTTTATGATTACTTCTTGCAACAAATCTAATTTAGCACCTTCCTGTCCCCATCTTTGTCCCCAATAATTCATAGTATATTTTGATTTTTTAATCATAGAAATACTTTACTTTCAAAAGATAATTGTTTTATATGGTTTTTCTGAATTCCTTATGCATCCTAGTGTAGACTGAAAGTACTTAGCTGAGATCAAAGCTCAGATGCTTAAGTCAAGCTTTTGATGGGAGTAATAAGTTTATGAATATAACTAAAAGTGGTGATGAAGTTTTGGCTAGTCTTATGAGGATTTCCTTCATAAAAATAATGGTAGACAGTGTGGAATAAGAAGAAATAGCAATCGTGTGGATAGAGAGAACACTGCACTGACAGCTGTGCATGACCTATTTGATAAGCAATAATTGGAAAAATGAATAAATGCTAGTGGACACTATGGGAGCAGGGTTGCAATAGGAAATAGGAGGTAGAGAGGATAAGCTGAAAACTTAAGGTAGTACACTTTGGAATGTGCTAATCAGGCAACAAATTTAGTAATGATGAATGAAAAATCTTTTAAAGAGAATTTTCAAGAAGATTATCTTGACTTCAGGGTATGCAAGATGTTATTCTTGTATGACTCATGCTCTAATATATGTGTCTCTCTCTCTCTGTTTTTCTCTCTATGAATCTCTCTCTCTCTCTCTCTCTTTCTCTCTCTCTCTCTCTCTCCCTCCCTCATCAAACTAGTGATTAAAACCACGGGCATTCTTTTGTCAAGTTACATCCACAGACAGTTTTATTTTTATTTTGGTTTGATACATGGTCTCACTAAGTTGCTCAAGCTACACTCAAAAACTTCCTCCTTCAGACCTAACAGTGCTGGAATTGCAGGTGTGCCCCACAGATATTACCACAGATCATTCTATTATAATTGCAAATCTCTTAGTGGCCCAGAGGAGGTAATGTCCCTAGGATGAACTCAGAAGTGAGATTTGGCAAGTTGCTTGCAAAATAAATGTAGGTGTTTCACTTTCCTGTGCCCAAGTTCCTGCCCCAGAGGAAACCATACTGAGAGTTGGTCTTCCCAACTCCAGGGAACACAAAGTAATGTGCCCCTGGGAGAACCATACTTCCAGGAACAATAAAATAGAGAAGTGTCTTGGAGCAGCAAAGATGCCATGACGAACTCAACAGTGGCAGTTGTCATCAAAGATTCAGGTAATGGGAAGGGACTGCACAGGAGAGATCAAAGTAGCTATAACATTGATGTGTTGAAGAGGCTTAGATGTTTCCTAAGTGAGGTCCATTAGTGTGTAGAAATAAGTCTGGGAACTTTGATGTAGACCATACATCACAATAATCTTAAAAATGTCTTTTAATGACTTTCAAGAATCATAGAGTAAGAGATTTTCAAACAGCTTTTAAAAAAAATCACTTAACATTTTTCATTTGTAGGAAAGGAGGTACAGTACAGTACAGTAAATAGTCTCAATATTACTTTGGACACAACAAAGTTCACTGTTTAAACAGTGATTGGGCTTTTCCTTACTACAATCTTTCCTGACCTGTAAAAATATGGAAGCCTTAGAAACTTCACTAATTCTCTCCTTTCCCTAGGCCTATTAGAGTTAGCCATGAATTCCTCCAAGCTTCCTTGGTGATGACACTGTTGGTTCCACTGTGGCATCTTTGCTTCCCCAAGATATATGCCTAGTCATATTATTCCTGGCTTCTTTCCAACAGATGTATCCTCCGTGCTTTTCAGTTATTCACTCTGTGCAGCAGTTCTGATCTTTGGAAAATATCAGATTAGTACCCCTAATTCTAGTCACCTTCTAGAAAGTAAATGTTTAGTATAGTATAGTATAGTATAGTATAGTATAGTATAGTATATATAGTATAGTATAGTATAGTATAGTTAATTGTGAAATACTGAGTATACATATGAGTGAATATCATCAACTATCATGGAATATTTCAACTCAGAATGTAAAAGAACAAAAGACAAATTTCTTGTCTTTTTTATTCAGGCAGGGGAGAGTGGAAGAAGAGCCTGGAGCCTGAGATCCTGATGCTACCCTTGTAGGACAAGTACTCTTTGAAACAAGGAACTGAATTCCTCATCAACTCTGTCAGCAACAGATACTGAGTAAATGATTTCTGACTTAACATGTTTAGTTCTTCTTTTGCAATGTGAATGGGGTTGATTTGGTAATCTAAATTCTTTTCTGGCTTTTGCATTCTGTTTCTTTTGTTTTAGGAAAATTTCTCAAGAGAAAGGACTCTGCCTTTACCATTTGTTCCTAGACATCATGGACCATGTCAACCATACCTGGATCCAGACATTTGTTCTTGTTGGTTTCACTATCTCTGGAACCCTAGGATCTCTTGCTTTCCTGGGGACGCTCTGTATTTATCTCTTCACCCTTGCAGGGAACATGTTCATCATTGTCCTGGTTAAGACAGATTCTGGACTCTCCACACCCATGTACTTCTTCATCAGTGTCCTGTCCTTCCTGGAGCTCTGGTACGTCAGCACCACGGTGCCCACCCTGCTCTCCAACTTGCTCCATGGGAGTTTACTCATCTCATCAGCCTTGTGTTTCACACAGCTGTATGTTTTTCATTCACTGGGACTCACTGAGTGTTACCTTTTGTGTACCATGGCAGTGGACCGTTACCTTGCCATCTGTCGCCCACTCCACTACCATGGACTCATGAGCAGACAGGTACAGCAATGGTTAGCAGGGGCCACTTGGTTGGCTGGCTTCTCAGCTGCACTTGTGCCAGCTATCCTGACTGCCACTCTGCCTTACTGCTTGAGAGAAGTATCACATTACTTCTGTGATCTGGCCCCTCTAATGCATTTATCGTGTGTAGACACAGACTGGCGTATTCAGGTTTTTACTGTGATGGTTGGCTTGATCAACACCTGCAATGCTGTTATCATATTAGGGCTGTACGGAGGCATTTTGAAAGCTGTACTGAAGCTGCCATCAGCTGCCAGTCGTGCCAAAGCTTTCTCTACCTGTTCCTCCCACATAATAGTTGTCACTCTGTTTTACAGCTCTGCTTGGATTGTGTATGTGGGCCCACCTGTGATGCACTCTGAGGACAGAGACAAGTTTATTGCTCTTGTTTATGCTTTTCTTACCCCTTTTCTCAATCCTATTATTTATACCCTTCGTAACAGGGAGGTGAAGGAGGCTGTTAGAAGGGTCACCCAAAGAATTAGGGGTGAACTGAAGAAACCGTGACACTTTTGCAGCTATGAGTCATCTACTTGAAAATTACATTTTAGGTTGTTAGTCAAGAAAATCAATTAATCATCAGTTGATCAACTCATGAAAAATTCATAACTGCAATGGTTTGATTTTTGGAGGAGGAAAAATTAAGAAATGTGAAGAGAGAAGACATATGGTCCCACAAGCTCCTAATATGGGAAAATTTGAGGAAATAACAGCAACGAAAAGAGTGTAGAGCAATTGTAAGCTTTAACTTAGATACTTGGAAAGAGACTGACGTTGAAAGAGCCTGAAGAACCAAAACTGGTTATGAGCTGTGATCAATATAAAATTCATCAAGAAGAGTCAAGAGGGAATCATCTGAGCTCAGCCAGAAGAAAAATAAGGGGCACCCTTGGTAAATATTCAGACATGGATTCATGAGCTATGAAACAAGATCCATAGGAGGGTGTATTTTAGGGTCTCTATGTGATCCTTCAGTAAAAGGATGTTTACTGTAAATAGAGAATGTGCTGTGGGAGATAGCAGAATTTTGGAGATGAGATTGGTTAGCACATGAATTCTTGGTGTAGATTTGAAATGCTATGGAGATATTTAAAGAGTTATGTTGAAGCTGCCTTTGGCTGCCCATCCTGTCAAAGCCTTCTCTATCTGTTCTTCTCATTTGATCATAATGACATCATTCGTGGGATCTGCAGGGATAGTGTTTGTGTAGTCACCAGTGCGTGCTGATGGCAAACATAAGATGATGCCCTTAAGTACTCTTTGCTTAACCCTATTTTCAACTCCTTTACTTTACCCTTTGTAATAAGGGAGTAAAAGAGGTTGTTAAAGGATTTCTGAGAGGATGAAAGGTTTGCTGAAGGACCCTTGAGACTGTATAGGGATCATAGTTTGCCCCCTTGATGATTGTAGAATTCACTTTGTTAGTCAAGAAAATAATTAATAAATTTATCTATAGATCCTATCTTCTGTGAAATACAGTGTACAATGTATACATTCATGTATTAGCATAATTTGAGAAAAGTAGTAGAAAGAGAAACATAGGTCCATAATCTTCTGATATGGGAAATGGATTTGTAAATTGAGAAACAACAACAACAAAGGAGTTGCAGTGATAATTTTTGGTTGACTTAAAAAAAGGATGATCAAATTTTGTGGAGAGAATGTGAAGAAACAAGGGTGTCTATGCTGTTGTGGTTAAGACTGGATATTTGGAAGAAGGTGCAAAAAGTATTTCAAAATGCCTAAAGAAAACTACAGGGACATCTTGAGTGAATATTCCAGTGTGCACTGGTGAACCATGTAAAGAGCATGAATAAGAGTGTGAATCTGTGTGTCCATAGGTGACCATTCAGTAAAAGGATATTTGTAGTTGGGAGGCACTCCAATAGGTAAGAGCAGGAGACTAGAGACAGAGATACACAATGGTCAAGATTTGAGAAACAAATCTTTCACTTTGAATCTGAAGTAATCAGTTACTAACCTGCCACTGGGGTCTCTAGTATGTAAAATTATTTTTGAAAACCAAGACAAGAATTGGAAAGGCACATTTTCTGTTTTTGAGAAGCTTAAAGGATTTTGTGGGAGGGGGAGGGAGGGGAGGTGGGCAAGTGGCTGAAATCTCCCCACCTTTTAATCTCTTTCTTACATTTTTTCCTACTTCAAAAAACAAATAACACCTGAAATATTGCTGTCAAACACCAAGGAAAAGAGAATTTAACTTGCTGTACGCATATTTGCAATAAGTAGAGATGATGAAAACTGGGATGAGTATATAGATTGTAAGAAAGGGAATAAACAAACAAAACTCTCACAGAAGCTATGATATTATCCTGAAAAACACCAAACTTTACTTGAGCCTAATAACATGCATGCCTAGCTGTCTAGTACTTTTATGAAGAGTATCTGCCAACCACAGGTATGGAGCAATCAGAAATTCCTTTCAGTGATTTTCTGTTTCAAGTTGACATGTTCACCGATGTACTGAAAATTCAAAAAGAAAATTCAGTTTTGAAATAGAAATACTCTACGCAGCAGTTTAAAATTTTTAAAGTTATCTAGTACTTGAGTTTTATGTTTCTTACTTTTTAATGTTTATTATTATTTACTATTTATTTTAAAGTAAAGAAAATAAAAATAACAGTAAAACAGTTTCAAAGAGGTGAGTAGGAGTGTTACAGTAATTATTACACTGAAAATTACCATCTCAATTGCAGTTATTCAGAATGCAAGGTATAAATTGTATTCCTTATTTTCCACTAATAAATTTTAAATGCTGTCAAGTGCAAGGTGGCTCAGTTATTATAATGACTTTAATAGAAAATATGTGCTCAGTTGTAACTGTAAACTAGCACAAAACTTTTGATCACTTCCTTTGAACAAACACCATTTACAGGTAGATGAATTCCAAAGGAAGAAAATAAATTACTGAAGTTTTGATTTAAGCAGTACTAATCATGTTAACTATCCAAAATCTGTCTTTCCAGAAGAGAAAATTATGTCAAGAGTTAGGAAATAACTTCAAAAATTAATGGACAACAGGATAATAGGTTAGGAATGAGGTAGCACCAAGATTTTCTAATTCTTTCCATGGTACATAATAACAGACTCTAATTGTTTTTCTTTTTTCTTTCTTTCTTTTTTTTTTTTTTTTTTTATCTGAAGCAGAAAGCCTACGGCCATGAGTATCACACAGTACAAGTGGGAGGGAATTCAGGCTCTGTGAATCACAGACTTCCTCTGGAGGGCTGCCTTACTCACTGAGAACCCTTATTCCTCTAGCTAATGAGTCCTGCCATGAAAATTTCTAAGGGTTACCTGGTTAACCTTTTTAATGTTACTTTTCTATCTCTACCTTGTTTCTAAAAGTAAGAATTGGGACTCTACTTCACAGAATCATCCCATACTCCTGCCTAACTCCCCTTGTTGCCTGATTGCATGGAGACCAGTGATGACACAGACATACTGTTTATACTGAAATATTATATGTGTCCCTTTTCTTGTTAAATCACTCACAGCAAAATGCTGGATAAATATATTCTCAAATCAGCTAATGAGTAAACTGAACCAATCAAAAATATTTAACTCTATTGAGAAAAAAGAAAGAAGGGCATTGTCTTTAAAAACCAGAGGGTCTGAGCATACTGAGAATCCTTACTGTCCTTATCATTGCTGGCATTGGTAGAGATGTTAGAATCTATGTGAATAAATGAGGCTACTTCTTTTACTTAACTCATGCTAGCAAGAAGAAATCTTTTAAATCATGATTTATCTGGTCGGTAGAGTCATTTTGGAAGGACAAGTTGGTTGTCTACATTCATGATAATCTAAAAATAATGCCACTGTTTTATAGGTCATGAATGCAGTTCTTTGACTCACTTTGTGAGAAGCTGAAAAATCTTTTTATATGTCTTCTAAACATGGAGTCCTAAATTTATTCTAATTCCGATTTGTTAGGGGATAAATATACCCATGAATTTTCTTAAGTAGATTTTAATTATAGGTAGATGTTTTTGTTTTAGTGAGAATATGCAGTCTAGATCTATTAAATGAAACAATTCCGAGGCAGGGTCCAGTAGTCTGTGTTTTAATAGGTCTCAAAATGATCTGGATGCAAATCTGAGAACCACTGACTTAGCCTGGCTAGTTGCTTGGCAGTCAGATCTGGATTTAGGGAACCCAGTCCTGCACTCAGCTATGTATCTCAGCTTTGCCTCTGGTCAGGCTTTGTGTGTTTTGTTCACTCTTCCATGCAGTGGTGGCTTGCGGCTTCCAGCTGCATTTTGATGCAATAGGAGAAACAGAAGAAAAATGAATGCACTCTTAGGGTTTAAATATGTTGTGTGCTCCAATAGTTTGTGCACTGAGGGCATTAATGTTACCAGTAGGTACCCTGTTGATGAGCTCATTAAAAAGATGAACTTTTAGAAAGTGAGCCCTTATTGGAGGGAACAGAGCTCTGGGTTGTGCCTCAAAAGGATTTATCCTGTTTCATTGCCACCCTTTCTTTTCTCTCTCACTCTCTTGCTCTGTTTTCTGCCTTGTGGATATAATGAAAGCAGGAGCACTCCTCTTGATTCTCTTCTGACACAATGTTTCTGTCATGTGTCAGCTAACCAAGAATTGAAACCTCTAAAACTATGACCAAAGAAATTCTTCATTAAGTTGTATGTGTCAGGTATTTTGTTACAGAGTTGGAAAGCTAACTAATAGAAAAGAGTGATACAAGAGAAGTTAGGTTCTTTGTTGCTTTTCTGTGACTATACTTGACCATATAGTACAGAAAACTTTCAGGTAGAGTTTGGAAAAATCTGAAGAACTGGGTTAGTGAATGTCTAGAATGTTGTAAGCAGATATTCAGAGGTGATTCTGGAATGCATTCAAATCGCAGCCTTACTAGAAATATGGACAGCAAATTCTGTGCACATGAAGTTTCAGATGGAAATAAGGATTTTGTTGTGAATTGGGTGAGAGATTATTGATGTTACATTCTGACAAATAACTTAACTTTTACCATTTAAATTAAGATTTTATAACTGATGAAATGTAATGGTGATGGACTAATTATTCTTGTGAAGGAAATTTGAAGGCAGCACAATGTTGAGGATGTGGCATGTGTTTGGCTGGCTGCTTTTATCCAGGATTAAAGGGAGAATCAGTAGTGAAAAGCAACACAGAAAACTATTAATAGCTTGTAGGCTGGACAATAAACAAATTGAGAATTTAAAACTGGTTCCAAAATTGGTAAAGTTGTTGAAGAGATTAGTAGCATTTAAAAAGAAGTCAAGATTTTGCATTGTAATTATAAGATAGATAGCTCAAGGAAGTTTCAGGAATTGGTGAACTGCACAATAAAATATATAAAAGAATTAACCTTTCATTTCAGTGGAAATCTACAGGAATATCTGATACAATTCCAGGGTATTTGCTCTACCAAGCTGTCCCATAGTCAAAGGGCACTGTGAAGGTGGTCCAAGGCTGTGCCTCTGTTGCTTATTTTGGATAGAGTT